TCTTTTTGTCTGTGGTTCTGGCCAATCTGGCTTTTGATGTGTCTTGGAGAAGATCTCGAGTTGATTCTATTTGGGGTCCTTTGTATTTCTTGAGTCTGGATATTGGAGTGCCTCTCTAAGGTTGCAAAGTTTTCTTCCAAGATTTTATTGAATAGATGATCAATGTGCTTATTAAGTTCTTCGCCTTCTGGGGCACTGATTATCCAGATGTTTGGTATCGAGTATTTCTTGTATATTATTCTCATTTTTTGGAGTTATTTTCTCAGTCTTTTTGATGATTTTTTTCTAGATCAGAGGTTTTTGTCTTCTCCATCTGAGTCTTGATCTTCCTTGTGATTTAATCTGCTTTTAATACTTTTTTTTGAGGGAGATTTGATTTCCTGTATTATAGCCTTCATCTCTAACCATTTCATTGGATTCATTTTTATGGTATCTCTTTCTTCTAAATCATGGAAGGACTTCCCCACCTCCTGGAACTCATTGTCCCTTTTCTCCTGCATCTTCTGGAGTTTGTTGTCTCTCTTCTCTTGCATCTCGGTTAGTTCTGTCACTATGAATATTCTGAATTCTTTCTGACATTTTCACGAGTTCCATTGTATTATCTGTGGATGATGAGCGGTTGTTATTTTACCTCGGGGGAGAGATATTTTCTTGGTTTCTCCTATTTCTCGTGCCTCTGTGGTGGTTTCTGCTCATCTGATGGATTGTGTTTCTTCCTAATTTCTTGGAGTTAAATCTGAGCATTCAGAGGTATGACTGAGGCAGTGATCCTCAATCTCTCTATAGTTCCATTTCCCTGACTTTCACCAAGCAACCTGCACTTTTGTCGTTGGAACTAGACATTCCAAAGGCCTCCTGGTTTCTAGAGAGCAGGTGCACCTGAGTTGAGCTGTGGAGTTACAACTGAGAGTTCAGAGGCGTGTGGGAGATGAGCCGTGCTCTCTCTGCAGCTCCACCTTTCCCCCTGCTACTCGCTCTGCAGTCTGTTCAGATGTTTGGCTACTGTGCACCTACACCTGTCGAGACAGTGTGTGGAGGCTCTCTACCTTTCTGGGTCTGGAGGGTGAAGTTGGAGCAGAAAATCTTCAGTTGCCCCAGTCCCAGAAAGGGGCAGGACATAGCTTGGCCGTCTGTCACTGTTATTTTGTGTTCTATGCTTGCTCACCCCAAAAGTGCTCAAAGGGTGTGGGCACCAAAACAGGCAATGAAAAGCATGCATGGAAAGAAGTCAAGTACAACTGGTCTTAAAATTCGACATCACTGGTATACAGGATGGCTGGCTATTTACCTACAATCTGCCAACCTGGACCCATCCTTGCATCATCTGCTTTGATGTTGTGGTAAGGGGAGTGGTCAACAAATGACATTTCTTGGGCTGATTTTAAAATTTCTGCTTTATTATAGGGCCTGTGCACTAGTCAGAGAGATCAAGTAAGAAACCGCTCCATGGGGGGATGACCACACCATGATCCCCTTTCCTTCATTCTCCTCTCAGAATTTTGGGCATACACACACATGTCCACATGTTTTTCAAACCACTGAGTCCAGGATTCAAACCACACAGTTGGCCATGTGGGACCCAGCACCTCAACCTCCATGTCACTCCTAGCTCCGTTTTCTCCATCTTCACACCCAGGTAACCCTGAACTAAAGTTTCCAGTCCTATTGCTTTCTTTTCACACAAATCTCAAGATTTCACCGACCTTCCATGATATTTGGTCCCTGACTCTAGCGTGTCACAACATGGACTCTACCAGGCCATTAAGAATGGCCTCCTCCACCAGCTATCCACAAGGTAGGAGGTCAGTTCTGCACTGAAGGATAGGAAGTCCTCACTAGTTCTCAAGGTCCTTTATCATCCTGATAAATAATGTTCTTTTAAAATTATTTTTGTGGGAACCAGCAGTTAGCGTAATGGCTCTGTCGCTGGACTCCCACGTAGTCGACTGCGGTTCGTGTCCCGGACCCGGTGGCTTAAAACTCACGCCGGGCGCGTGTGCGTGCGTACCCAAGATCCCGAGAGGAGAATGGAGGAGAAGGGATTGCGGCGTGACTATCCCCCCGGGGGGTGATTTCTCGCTTTCTGTCTCTATGTCTCTCTCTGTCTGGCAAGCGCACGTGCCCTATAGCAAAAATCTCTCCAAAAAAAAAATTAAAATTATTTTTGTACAAGTTAACATAAGCCACTGTGAGCAAATGTCTAAATGTGTCCAATTCTGAGTCACTGAGGCAACTGTGGTCTTTAAGATTCCTTAGAACCCTCCTGACTACATTTCCCAGGCTCAGGTGCCAGGCCAGCCCTATTGGAACCGGATGGAAGTGCATGGTCAGGCAATAGGACCCACATCGAAAGGTCCTGGGTTTGTGTCCCAGACCTTCCTGAACACATTTGCTGTGCACATGTGAGGCCCTGGTAAGCTGAGACAGGAAGGCAGATCTCAGTGTGAAGACCTTATTGGGAGTATCTCTATTTCTCTCATGGAAGAAATAAAGATTTTAAAAAAGAAAAAGGAAGAAGATAGGCCCCTCTCCATCTCCCCCTCAGGAAGCTGAGTTAGCAGATGCTTGATTTAAATTCAAGTCCAGGGCCAGGCAGTGGTGTGGTGGTGAAGGCGGCTAGATCCCACATGACTAACTTTGCAGTTTGAAAAACACACCAGGCACATGTGGGTGCATGCCCAGAACTCTGAGATGAGAATGGATTACAGAGTGGGGGGTGATTTCTCTCTCTCCAGCAAGTGTATGCACCCTATAGCAAAACTAAATTCAAGTCCAGCTTGTTTATAACAACATAAACCAGGCTCACTGCCTCACTCTCACTTACACTGTGTCTGTGTAAATGTTCCCCGTCCTTCAAGACGCAGCTCAGGACTGCACTCCTTCAGAGGCTGGCTCTGTGAACATGGCGTCCTCACTCTCCTGGAGTTCTCACAGGACCTCGCTCCCATCTCACACTAACTCTGCTCCAGTGGAAAGAAACCCTACGTTCTTATTTAGTCCTGACATAAACTTTTTTTTTTTTTGAGAGGTTTTTGCTATAGGGTGCATGCATTCACCAGAGACAGATAGAAAGCAAGAAATCACTCCCCGGGGGATAGCCATGCCACACCCTCCTCCTCCATTCTCCTCTTGGGATCTTGGGCATGTATGCACATGTGCCCGGCTTAAGCCACTGGGTCCGAGACTCAAAACGGTCGACTACATGGGAGTCCAGCGTCATAGCCATTATGTCAACTGCTGGTTCCCTGACATAAACTTTGAATATTTTGTTCCCTGATTAGAATGCAGCTGTGAGACTAGACCACGTACTACAACTCTGGTAACTTCTAGAGTACCTATCAAGTATGAACTCGTAAAATATTACTGCACGAGTAGATGGGTGTCCTTACAGCAATGATTCTCTCTCCTAAAACCTCCCAAATCTCTGACTCCAAGTGACAAGGCTATCTATGAACATGCATTTCCCTAACGTCTCATTCTCACCTCCTGCACTCGTCCTTGCTTCTCGGCTTCTGGAGATGGCACGCTACCCACCTCTGATTTTCTTGTTAGAAAGCGTATTAGAATCTCTCAGGGATGCAAATGGACTGTTTTTTCTTTATTTCAGTTTAAAAAATACATGCTTCTGAAAAATAAAAACATAGAAATATATAAAGCAGGCCATGAAGGTTCTCCCGTAACTCCACTCCCTCCCAAAGTCACTGTGAGTCAGATGGTGTTACCGCTTGTTTTCCAGCATTAAATGATCTCACAACAAGGAGTAGCTGTTTCTTATACAGTCTAGACAGTTTGCATGAATAACCCGCATCTTCTTGCTTAACGGATACATGCAAACTGCCTGATGGAACCACCATCTTTAAACCAGCTCCTACTAGGGCAACTGGGCCAGTTTTATTCAAGAACAAAATGCAACAAACTTGCTGTGTACACCTCTCAGATTCCTATTAGACAGTTTCCAGGAAACGAAGTTACTAGGGCAAAGGGTTCAAATACTTTCAATTATCCCAGGAAAACTTTTAACGTTTTTTCATCTAATATAAACTTAACAATTATGCTTCCGCCTTATAGCATGCAAGATGGGAAATGCTTATTCGAAATCATGGTGTGTGTTAATAATTTGGAAAACTTAATTGTTCTTGTAACTGTTTTCTAATTTATAAGTGAAGTTTGACAAATCTTGACACAGGGATTGGGATCCCAAGTGCATGATATGTAAAACTTGTATTTACCAGGAGGCATACTAGAAATAAACACTTTTCTCTAATACTACCGTAAGATGCAGCCCTTAATACAGCTCAGCCAGCTCCAATTTCTCCAGTCATTTCCCACTTCTTCATTTGTTTGTTTTTGCTATAGGGTACATACACTCACCAGTGAGACAGAGAGATAAAGTGAGAGATTACGACCCCTTCTCCTCCAGTCTCCTAAGGATGTGGGGCACACACACACATGCACCTGGTGCAATCTTTAAGCCAGTGGGTCCCAAAGTCAAACAGCACAGGTGGCCAGTGGGATCCAGCGCCCTAACCTCGATACTAGCTGCTGGCGCTCCCCGAATTTTGCTAACAATACTGGTATCCTACTGCTTGTGGGATAAAAGCCAGACTCACAATGGGCCCCACCCCACAGGCCAGCTTTGATCTCACTGCCGAACCGCAGCAGAGCCTGCCACAGAGGGCACCACACTCCCTGTCAGGCTTCGGCCACTGCTCTTAGCAAACCCTTCTGCCCTCTTTCACTATAAGGTCAGCTCCAATGTCACTTAAACACACACTCAAAACGTTTTTTGAAATAAATATACATCAGTTAAGACTTCAAATAGTTTTAATCCCAAATTATCATAGTTTTTAAAAGGATTAAAAAAACCCTGCTGCCCTCAAAACATGTCCTCTTATTAATATAGTAGTCAGTTTGTACATTTTTTTAAAAAGGGGTTTTCTAGTAAGACTGTCAAAATACTCTATCTTTAGAACAATTATGTTCAGTAAACCTGCATATGCTTGATATTTGCATCTTACCACCTAGGATCAGACTGTTTATTTGAAAAATAAAAATGCGGGGCGGGGCGGGGGCGGTTTATTGTAGAACATGAAGCAGCAGTGTTTCAAGCGGTGCGTGTCTGCTTTACAGTCCCAGCCAGGGCACAGGACGACTGGATCTCCTCACGGACGCCGAGCTGTACACAGGAGCCGCAGTGAGGACGCCACCACATCAAAACCGCTTTCTCTTGATAATTTCTGGTTTCCAGCTGATGGGGTGAGTTTCCTCTGTCTAAAAAGAGAAAGTTAACAAAGTATTATCAGTTTGCTTTATATCTAGTAGACTATCTAAATCGTATTAGTTGGCATTACATACTTAGCAACCCTTCAATGATTTTAGGGCAGGGACAAACTTTTGGCATTATCCAAATCAAATAAAAGGTGAATGGGGCATTATGAGTTCAGTTTGTAGTTTTTCATCCAATATAAACTTTCTATTTTGGTATTTCAGTAACACCAAAGTTTACGATTCTACAGCTGTTCAATGCTGATACCACTATTGTTAGCAAAATTCGGGGAGCGCCAGCAGCTAGTATCGAGGTTAGGGCGCTGGATCCCACTGGCCACCTGTGCCGTTTGACTTTGGGACCCACTGGCTTAAAAACTGCACCAGGTGCGTGTGTGCGCCCCACATCCTTAGGAGACTGGAGGAAAAGGGATTGCAATTCTGCACAGCGATCTATCTGCTGTCATTCTCAGTGTTCCCGCAGTAATCAACGAGGAAAGCCGGGACACAACTCAATCGTCACTCCACTGGCGTCCATGAATCAGGAGACACCTACGGACCCACTCAAGATGAGATACCTCCGCACAATAGCCCTGATTTCTCTTCCTGATGATTAAATGAGAAAAACTTGCCAAATTGGTACGGCTGTTTCAGTTGGCTTTAAAATGTATGTGAAACAGGGAACTTACCGCCGTATCATCCTCCCTGTACACTTTAATGGTCTTATCGGCCTCTGCTGTTAGTAATCGACTTTCAGACTGATCAAAAGCACACGCGAATATCCCCGACTCGCTGTCCAAGGACCCAGGCTGCACAGCTGCGTGAACTCTCTGGAAATTGTAGCCGGTTCTCCAGTCCCACAGGTGCATGGTGCCGTTGTCGGCTTAAAGAGAAAGTTTTAGTTACATCTGGCAGCCCTCAAGAGTGCAGTGCGACAGACATTTACAAAGCAACAACCACGAGCCCAGGCGCCCTGGGGAATCCACAGCTACGAAGATGAAGACACAGCAGCACTGAACTTCCCTTAGTACCAGTCTGTCTGTTTTTATCTGTGCTTACCTCGGAATTCTCCATTGACCTTACTGGGCTGTCGGAAAAGTCATGATAAACTTTTTTCTGTTTTTCAAAGGTCATTTATTTTATATAAACAACAAGCTCAAATCAATATATTGCCAGTTTTGTTTGATAATCTTTCGCAATCTTTTGGTGAGCTTCATAATTCCTCATTCATAGAGTGACCTGTCTTTACGGTGAAAATCTGAATGAGGGGCTGATTTACAGCCTCGTGTGAATTGAACGGTACCCCACACAGGAGTTCTGAAGAGAGCAGACAGGCGGAGGTCTGTGTGCTGACCCATCCCACTTAAGCTCCAGTGATCTCGCGTGTGTGTGTGGCCTTGCGCAGGGAGCTGTGATGGTGCTGGGTCTCCGTGCTCTCCATTTCGGGAGGATGGCTTCACTCAAACTGCCAACTGCCGACAGCACACATTTGAATGAATCGTTCAGTTCCTTGGTGGAAGCCTGAGAAACGCACCACCTTAAAAACCCCACCACACTGAGCACGACCTTCCTCGGATGAATGTCTGCTTTTGCTGTCGTCTAAGGAGAATCATCACGTTGGGACCAAGGCTGCACACCACACTGTCGTAACAATCCCCTTCTCATCACCAGTTATCAGTCGCTTCAAAAAAGGACCGTTTTCCTCACGTTTAATGAGAGATCGCAGCAGATGTTCATATGCACCATCGAATGAACTTCCTTGTGTCCACGAGGAACTCAAATATTGAGCTTGCTTACGCTTCCCGGGTTCTCCAGGTCATGAGTGCGTGAGTGACGGGGTTCAGTGTTTCTGCAGTCTCCCGTGCTGTGTAACGTGGACCTGACTCGATCAACGCCTTTATTGTTTCGTCCTCAACCTTGGTGGGTCTCCCTGACCGAGGCGCGCTGCTGAGATGAAGTCCCAGCATGCAGCATCGTGAAGGCTGCTGGCTCCGACACTCCTGCAGAGCACCGTCGCTGTGAACTACGCGACATTCCATAAGCTTGATGCATGTGCTTCCCTTTAAAGGAGTAAACAGTACAACAGGCGGGAATACAGTGTGGTCTCCCATCTCCAACCTGTTGTAAAACCTCCAAATCACAACCAAATCTCTTCATTTTTACTTTAGAATGGAGTTAGAAGAGC